TATCTTTACTTTACGCTAATACTTTTGAAAATACTATTCGTAGTCCGTTAAAGGTTACCGGCCTCCGCGAAGAGCTATAAATTATTTTTTAAACGGTTATATTATTTAAAAATATTTTTTTATTCCGGGTTATTTAGTAATATAAAGTTTTTTAATTATACCCGTTTAATTTCCTTTTATTTTCCGTTTTTTACGTACTTAGTATTCTCTTATATATATATCCGATAGCAGTTCTTTATTTTACTTTACTAATATTTAATAATTATAACCTTTATAATTTTTAATTCCTTCGATATAGTAATTACTACGATCTTTTTCTTTTATCCGAATCGCTTAAGTACCCTACAATCTTTTTTAAAATATTTTATTTTACCGTAATTAAAATACTTAAAATTATTTTTACTTTAGTTTTACGGCCTTTATTACTAAATAGTATTAACTTTTATAAGCCTTACGTATATAATCCCCGAAACGTAAGTCCCGTATAGCTATCTCTTTTTTTTATTATTAAAGTAATAGGGTCCTTATATATATATACTTTTACGCTTTTTACGGTATTAATATTATTAATCGTTAATACTAATTACTATTATAATATACTTATCGATAGTTTTCTGTCACTCTATTTAATATAGTTTTATTTTTTAATTTTTTTTAAGCCCCGTTATAGAATAACTATATTAATCCTTTATCGTTAATTATATTACGGAATAAATTTATTTTAAATACTATAGTATAGTTAGTAATAAATCGAATTTATTTAAAATTAATTAATCGCTTTTAAATACACTTACCCTCGTTATACTCTCTAAATATTAATTTAATTTTCTTTTTAAAGTTTTTATACGACTTAAAATACTTCTTTGTAATATCTTCCCTTTCGTCGTACTTATTATCTAATTAATTTCTTAAAATCTTCTCTAATTAATTAAATACTTTATTTTTAATCCTTAATATAATATATATTACTTTAAATTCCTCTTTTAATAAACTAAAAAATTATTACCTAAAATAATCCTTAATTTATATTATTAACCTTCTTAATTTTCCTTTTACTCCTCTATATTAATCTTTTACCTCAATCTTAATACTCTCTCCCTCCCTACGTAATTTACTAATTTTCTAATAAAGTATAGTTTTTTTTTAAATAATGTATTATAAAAAAATTATAATTTAGTTTTAAACTTTAAAATATAATCAAAATCTCAGTCAATAGTAAACTAAGTCAAACCTCCCTAAATATTAACGTTTCTTTCTATATCATTATTTTA